AGAACTACCTTATTGTAGTAAAAGAGTACTGCATTTCTGGCAAAGCATTCAACACTTCCGTCACTGTTATCATTTCTTTCTTATTTTTATTTTTGTAAGACCGTAAAGGGTTAGTTAGAAAAAGAATTGGAAAATAAGGACTTGACCTTGAATACGAAAGTTAATCCAGAAATATTACCTGATCCAATGACAGGGAGAGAGGGGGGGGGGGGGGGGGGGGGCGACGGGGACCTTAAGGGTGTTTGCGTAGTTTTCCTTGGAGCGGCTTGCTGTATTTTTAGGCAATGGTAAACTGTAGGCCAGAATTATTTAATTATTTAATCGTAAAATGCAGTACTCTTTCATCACTTTGTTGTCATTAGCTTTGTTTCCATAATTAACGCATCTGCTAAAATGATGAACCGATCGCTATTAATTTATTTATTCAGAAATGTTAAAGCAGTGTTGTTGATACACGTTTTTCTTTGCATTTCATCAACGTCTCATTGCTGAGCATTTTGTGTTTCAATTGATCCGTTGCTGCTGCCTTTCATGAGTTTTTGGGTACAGAGAATGAACACGCAGGTAAACTATTCTGTATTATTCTATAAATAATCATTACACTCAAATCATACATTCTTTCAAGTTGAAAAAGTCTCACCGCACTATATTGAGAGTCAAAGTTTAGGATGTTTTCGAGAATAAATACGAACATTTATAAAGACATAAATATGTTACCAACTGAATGAAGTTTGAATTTTCAATATCATGAATTTGTATTGCATAAAAATATTTATTTATTGCCACACCAATTCATTGTTAGCGCCTGTTTTGATGAGTTTAAAACTGAGTTTTTGTTGAGTTCCTTTTCTATTTCTACGATACGAGCTAAACTCCATTTTATATTTAATTTTAAGGTAATTAACAACTTAACTTGCTTGAAATTTGCAGGTTTTGTCAATTGGATGCCTACACTTTTGACTTTTTAATCACATTGCTAATATTTTGAAATCAAATCAATTTTTTTTTCTTTGTTGACTTTATGAATTTGAAATTTAAAATTAGTATTTAGAATATATTTCTTTGAATGCAATACAAGATAGTATATTCATAATATAATCCAGATTTTTTTTTAATATTGATGAATGTATAGGTATAAGAATGCTTCCAATCATATATATATATATTACCAAATATACCAGTAGAGGATTTGGTTCATCACTTCCTAAGATTTATCGTTAATTTTAATTAACCCCTTCAGGCTTTGGAATCGATGGTTTGGGTTATTTTTATGCTTGTTATGAAAAATATATTTTCTTTCGCCAAAAATTTGTAAGTGATCAACATAGATTCTTTCAATCGGCTTAGTTTTAAAAAGGGGTTGACGACTTTTTTTAGTCTTGAAGATTCAATGACATCCCATTTTCATCCTTATATTTTAAAAATTTGTAATTTCACCCATAATCTTTCACCTAACCAAAAATTTACTCTGGATCATTTTTTTTCCCATATCCTTTCGGATTCTCATTGTACTTTCACAGTAAATTATAAATTAGTCCCTCTCATTTAGAAAAATAAATAATTTAATCTTATTCGTTTCAAAACCTAATCGTTTAATCCCTCATCTTTTAATTCTGCTAATAATCTAGTTCGTTATCCGTTTTTTGGTTAAATTAATAACTTTTGTTTTCAAATTATAATTTTTTTGATTTTTAATTGAGAAGAAAAAAAGACAGTGAGTGAATGAAAAAAATAAGAATGGCTTAAAAAAATCACTAGTATAACAAAAAATTATGAAATGACTAAGTGATTGATGAAATTAAAGTACAAAATATAAAATAATTATTTTGTTTTTTTCAAAACCAAATGGACTAACTTATAATTTATTCTAATATCTCATGAAAACATTAAAAAAAAAAAGATTATTTAATAGTTAATGGTAATATTGGTACTTTTTCGAAAACAAGTCAAATAAAATTTGAGAAATCTTGAATTACGAAGATGGAAGAGGAACATTAATAGATTCTCGTCAAAAAGTCGAGCGGTTAACGAATTTTTTAAACAGTCTTGCCAGATGATTAGCTATAAACAGGGTGTTGTGATTGACCGCCCTACATTATTCATTCACTTTTGATCGTCGTTAACTAGAAAATCCAACAGCTGTTGAGTTGCCTCCTGCGTTGATTTGAGCATTAGATTTTGTGTCGAATAATCTTCAAGTGAAAGAAACCTGTTCGAATCGAACATTAATTTGTTGCCAAATACATGTGAAAAAGATAGAAAATGACTATTATCGTAAGAAAAATACTCGCGGCCAATAACAAAATCACAAGGTTGGATTGGTATTGCTCTTTGGTTGTCAATTATAAGAAATTCATAAGGTGTAATGCAGATAATAAACGATTATAACATTCCTTTCTATGTCAGTTGATGATATATCCTAGCAGAGAAGCAATTCCCTCTAGGCTCATGGTGATTACATAAAATGATGGACATCCACTGGAAGAACGATCCACTGAGCTCAAGTAAGTCATGGTTTACTTGGACATTCGCAATCAATTGGCAGAGTGGTTTCTTATTAAGGACTTGGTTGCTTTATTAGAAAAGCCATTCATTTTGTTTTTATTTTTATAGTTAGGAAAAAACATTCTGTTGAATTGACTAGACATATAAATTTTTTCCCTAACATGGTACTAAACTTTGTTACTTTTTACTAGCAACCAGAAAGGGACAGTCCATCAGACAATGAGAAAGCCATTGGTCAATCAAAGCTCGGACCGAGGGACATGGACCCAAAAACTGATTTTTCATTTTCTTTTCTTTATTTTCCTATTTTTTGGCCTAAAACATGCAAAAAAAAGAGAGAGAGAGAGAGATCATAGCCACACTTTTTTAACTCTAAAAATAGATCTTAACCGTTAGATCTGTCTCGATATTTTAAAAACCCCACTAAAAGCCTTCACTCATTACCTCTGTCGTCAGATTCAGTTTCGAAATCCTGGCCAGCAGAACGTGTGTTGCATGATTACTTAAATACCCCTGTATTACCAATGTCTCCTTGTAAACACAAGAGGCGGGTAGGTGTATTATGGGAAATCAGTATAAATTACAAAAACTATCTGAGCTAGATCGCCTTTTCTCTGTCTCATTGGTCTCTGTAAAAGAAATTTATCAACAAAAGAGCCCTCGGAATGAGAAGCTCACGCGCTTTCATTATTGAGTGTATAAACGTGTACTACCTACTACCAAAAAAAATTGAAATGGACAAAAAAAAGAAGAAAGAAGAAGAAATATAATTTAATTGTTAAAATATTTTCATATTTAAACTGAAGTTTTTTTCCAAAGTATGAAAGTATTCTCATATAGTTTTGATATACTTACCGTCAGTCTTTTATTCGAATTTTAACATATCAATTATATCTAAATTTTGACATATCTATAAGGTTTTTTTTTACGTGTACTAGTATCCTCAATACCATAATTTTAGTAATACATTCTAAATAAAAGGTGATAGTCAAAGCAGACTATTACTTTGACTGTAATTTCATTCAGTATTAAATTAGACAACAAAAAAATAATAATAAAAAAATAATAAAGTATTAAGAAGAAAATATAAAAACACTAACAATTTGTCTATTTATATGAAAATAAATAAATCTTCGAATCACTCTTTCATATACACGTAATCATCTACGAAAGTAAGATTATAAAATATTATGATGACGAGAAGATAGTAATCATAATAATATCTTAATACTATTTAACTTGGTTTTTTTAAAAAACTAATTTGTATTTTTTTCTAAACATTTAAATTGTTTTATCTTTATAACAAAAGGAAAATTAAACCATTATTTTTTATTCTCTAAAAAACTTATAAAGGAATTGAATTGTAACTACGAAAAAATATGTAAAATCAATTGATTTCTTACCAATAAAAAGGTATTGAAGACGATTATTTCTATAGCTAACGATACATTTATATGATTATAATCTTTATGGCATTCGTAAATATTAGTAAATTCTTTGTTATTTATATGAAATTTACGATGAAAAAAATCAATCAATTCTTTAAATTAACTATGTATTATCTAAGTTTAACAAATGGAGTACGTGCCAAGCAAACCAATAATTTTTTTCTTCCCCTTGAATTCGTTCTCTATTCTCCTTGCTAAGTAGTAACGTTTTTGTTTCACAAGAGCCATGAAAGTGAGAGTGGAATGACAATCAATGAATAAAAGAAAAGTAAGAGCATCACTTACATAACTATCTTACAAAATTCGCTTCCCAAGTCAATAAATAGCATTACTCCTAAAGAAAAGAAAACCCTACAGGAAAGATAACTACGTCTACGGACAAAAGCCACATAAAAAATTACAAATTAAATATTGAAACAAAAAAGAAACTATAGAGAGAGAAAAAGAGGAGAGATAGAGAGGGGATTGAAGCACTTTACCACTTTTACATGTTGCACGCATCTTCAGCAGAAAATAGAAGGAAGACAGAGTACTGCAAGGCTACAACAAGAAGGCAAGAGAAGAAGAAGAGAAGAAGCTGAGAGAAAAAGAAACCACCCAAAAAACCCACCTTAGTTACCTCACTCAGAAGAACCATGGAGATAAAAGATGGTACCAAAAATGAGGTAGCTAGATGAGTGCCCAAGAAGAAGAAGAAAAGCTTTATTAAAAGCTCTCTCTGTGTGTTCTAAAATGGGTTTTTTTTCTTTTTTCTCGAGCTCTATCTCTGTACATTTAAAAACTTGTCTCCTCTGAAAAAAAAAAAAAAAAGGAAAATCTGATTTTGATTTTTAGATGTTTTTTTTGTCTCTCGTTTCAAGGTCCAACTTCTTGTTTTGTTATATTCAACTAACCCCATAATATTTTGCTTTTCAGTTTTTTTCGCTCATGCAAAGCATTAAACTTTGAAGGGGGTAGTGGTGGGGGCGATATTTTCATTTTCTTGAAAATAAACTGGAGATATTTTGGTTTCTTGAATTCTTAGTTTTCTGCTCTTGATTTTGTTAAATGAAGGCCATGCCCCTACCCTTTGAGGACTTTCAAGGGAAGGGGGTGTTAGATTTCTCTTCTTCGTCTACTTCCTCTCCAGATTCACTGCATCAACTCCGCCACAAGTGGCAAAACAATTACAGCAAAAAAAACTGTGGGTTTTTTGTGGGCAGCACTGAGCCCACATCTGTGCTTGACACGATAAGCAGACAAAGCCCACCAACGTCGTCCTCAACACTGTCTTCTTCTCAAGGTGGAGGAGGTGGTGGCGGAGGAGCCTCCACCGCCACCAACAACGGCGTGGCAGCAGCTGCTGGAAGCAACCCTTGTGTAGATGAAAAATGTGGACAGCAACTTGGAATGGAGGATTGGGAGAGTGTGTTGTCAGGGTCTCCTAGTCAGGAACAGTCAATTTTAAGGCTAATTATGGGTGATATGGAGGACCCATCTTTGGGACTTAACAAGTTGTTACAAGGTGGAAATAGGTCTCAAGATATGGAGCTTAATGCATCAGGTTTTGGTGTAGTGGATCAGGCTTTTGGCTTTGAAGTACCCAATATGAGCACCGCAAGTTCAAACTTGGTCGCCAACAACAACAACAGTGACCCTTCTTCAATCCATGGTACTTATCCTGATTTTCCTCTTGTTGGCCACAGTGTTACTGGAATTATTAATATTGGTTGTCTGTTGAACCAAAATCCATCACCAATTCCTGTTTTGTTTAATCCAGTAATCAATCTTTTGCCAGGTTTGTTTCAGCAACAGCATCAGCAGGCAGCATTTGATCAAGATGAGAAGCCGCACATTTTGAGTCCAGGGGTGATCATAAACCAAAACCAACATCAGTATGTGCAAAATCCAGCAATGCTTTTGCCATTATCATATGCACAATTACAAGAGCATCATAATAATCAACATTTTTTATCACCGCCACCGTCGAAAAGGCTTAACTCTGGGCCTGTCGGAGCCAATTATGTGCCAAAAGTCTTTGATTCGAGGTCTCCTGAGTTGTTTCTCCCTCGACAACACCACCACCACCAGCAGAACCATCAGTTTCAAATGATGCAGCAGCAGCAGCAGAGGCAGGGAATGATCATAAAGCAGAAAATTACAAGTGATGAATTGACAAACCAGCAGCAGGTTCAACAGGCAATAATAAACCAGATATGTCAAGCAGCAGAGCTGATCGAAACTGGGAATCCGGTACTTGCGCAAGGGATATTGGCGCGGCTCAATCACCAGCTCTCTCTTCCAATCGGTAAGCCTTATCAAAGGACTGCTTTTTACTTCAAGGAGGCCTTGCAGCTACTTCTCAATATGAGCAACAACTCTATTGTTAATGCTTGTAACCTGATTTTCAAGATTGGTGCTTATAAATCTTTCTCTGAGATCTCACCGATCCTTCAGTTTGCGAATTTTACTTGTAACCAAGCCCTTCTCGAGGCTTTTGAGGGGTTTGAGAGAATTCATATTGTGGATTTTGATATTGGATATGGTGGACAATGGGCTTCTCTTATGCAAGAACTGGCTTTAAGGAATGGAGGTGCCCCTTCTCTTAAAATCACCGCTTTTGCTTCTCCTACCTCGCATGAAGAGCTCGAGCTCGAGCTTGGTTTCACTCAAGAAAATTTAAGAATCTTTGCAAGTGAAATCAACATGCCATTTGAGCTTGAAATTTTAAGCCTTGAATCCTTGAGTTCTGTTTCTTGGCCATTGCCTCTTGGCATACCGGAAAAGGAAGTAATTGCTGTGAATCTTCCAATTGGCTCCTTTTCAAATTATCCATCAACTCTTCCTTTGGTGCTTCGGTTTGTAAAGCAGCTGTCACCCAAAGTCGTGGTCTCTTTGGACAGAGGCTGTGACCGAAGTGACCTCCCATTTGCGCACCATGTAAATCATGCCATTCAATCTCATTCAAGTCTGCTGGAATCACTGGATGCTGTGAATGTGAACTTAGATGCACTGCAAAAGATTGAGAGGTTTTTTATCCAACCGGGCATTGAAAAAATTGTACTGGGTCGTCATCGTTGCCCTGATAGGACTCCTCCTTGGAGGAATCTCTTTTTGCAGTCTGGTTTCACTCCATTGACATTCAGTAACTTCACCGAGTCGCAAGCTGAGTATTTGGTGCAACGTACACCAGTCAGGGGTTTCCATGTTGAAAAGAGGCAATCTTCTCTTGTTCTTTGCTGGCAGAGGAAGGACCTCGTGTCAGCTTCTGCTTGGAGGTGTTAAGAAATGAGAATTGGCATTTTGGATATTGGTTCAAAGGTGCTGAGCTCGTACCCCGGTTTAATTTCTGATCTTTTTTCGAATTTTGTTGTCCCTGCTTCTCTTTCGCTAATTGTCTATGTGCTCTAGGCCTATTATTTCCAATCAAGAAACTCAATATTTTAGTAACTGGATGGGTGTACAGTTCTTATTTTCTGCCACTTTTGATGCTTTTCTTGTTTAAGTTGGTAATTGTTTTGTTGTACACTTGACAAGGAGGCAGAACAATATGTGGAAGACATAATTAACCCTTTTCAAATCATTCTTCGGCAGATTTGCTGAAGTAATTTTCTGTCAGATTGATTCATGAACTTATCTTCTCTTTAGTCTTAACTTCCTTGATTGTTATCCAAAACTCCCTAATGTTAGCAGTTCTAATAATTGCATCTTCTATTTCACAGCTAGGGTTGTTTCCGATGCTTGTAGTAATTATATTCTTTCATGCCTTATTTTAAGAAAGCATCAAGACAATTATTCTTAATCTCCATAACTTATCTGCTTCAATTATGTTGTATGCCACATAATAATTAGGTCTGCAACTGAACTAGTTCAGTTTTTATTATTTCCTTCCAGCAACCTTGCTAATTAGAATCTTTAGTTAATTTTATCAGAATCTGAATCTTCTTACCATTTTGTATGGCATAAAATCGAACTTTGGATTAAAAATTTGACCGTACCGGACATCTTTTTGCGTCTCCATAATAGTCTTCTTATCCTTCTTATAAACCTTGTTTATAAGTTAGGGCAAAGTAGTTTCCAAATGTAGATGTATAGTTTACCAATATGATCAAAACAAATTTAGTTGATAAGATTACAGGGTTCCAGGTTCATAGATTTGTGTCATTTAAGGCCTCAAGGATTTTATGTTGGCCTAAATTCTCTCTAATTGATGCTTAATACAACTTAATCAATGAGTATTATAGTATTCACCAATGTCTGTTATGGTGGGTGCAATAAATACTTAATTTAGTACAAGGGCTATATTTTTTAATTTTTGTATCATGATATTTTATGTATTCATACTAACACTTGTATTATTATACACTGAATTTGCTATTGTTTGCTTGGTTTTTTATGCCTCCTCCTCGTGAAGTCACATGGGTCTTGTATCATTGGACCATTGAATGATTATTTTAAGCCCTTTTCTTTTTTATCATCTTCACAAGTTATTAAGTACGCTTTAGTTGAACACCAATCACATTATAATATGATAAAAACCATCTTGCATTTGAAAGATGGTTTGGACCCATTATTAATACCAAAAAAAAAAAAAAAAAATTAATAGAAAGCCAAAACCGTCGGCTCTGTAGACTATGTATTTATATTCTAATAGCCCTGCAAATTAACAACCTTATTAATACAGTTAATATTGTGATAACTTGGGATAATTGAGTAGTCTAATGTTGGGGAAAAAGAGGTGGTCCAATTGGGAAAGTATTACTACCCTTTCACCTAGAGCAAGAGGACCACCCCATTATTGAAAAGGTTCGAGGCTGGTCCGAAAAATTGACATAAATGCAAATTTGCATGTATATACACAAGAGCACGCAAAACAATTACGCTAGACTGCATCCATACAAGTTTTTGTTGTCTTTATTAAAATGATTTGAGTCTTTCTTTTATCCATGTTCTTAGCTGTTATGCGTGGCATGATAACTACACAACTGCTGTGCCCAAAAAGCAATTCCTCTTCCATTTCTTTTAAACAATCAGAAATGCTAATATAAATTCTAGAGAACAATAAAATATTAAATGTCATTCTTTATCAAATGCTATAATTTATAAGTATTTCGTTTCATTCAACTTTTCTGTTTTAAGGAAAATTAGGATTTTTTATTTGTTATAAATTAAAATTAGCAAATAGAGAATTCAAAGGTGTAGTTAAATTCCAAAAATATTAGTATACTTGCCTTCCGGAGTAAACAGAGCCAAATGAATGGCTTTAGAGAAATTTATTCCTTGCGTAGCAATGGCTGCCAAGTTACATTCAGTTCCAAGCAGGGCGCAACTAGCAAAATAATGTGTGCTGTCAGCTAGCCATTACCCAACAATTTGGGAGTTTCCAAGTTGCTGTCTCCGCTGTCCAACACGAGTATCGGTGCTAACAATTCTTTCGTGTCAAAAGAATAAATTTTAAATCAATCCTTTAGGTGAAGAAACAAATTAATTAGTTTTTCGGTTGTTTCAAAAACTAATTAATTAATCTTTATATTTTCAAATGTTCTTATACTTTAATCTTTTAGTTCTTATTTAATTTTTTTTTAAGATATAAAAAAAGAAAAAATATGGAAGAATAATGAAAAAAATATGATATTTTTAAAATTAAATTAAATTATATTATATTAAGGGTGATCAATCTTAATTAATAAATTAAATAATTAGTTTTTAAAAGAAGAAGCATTAATTAATTCGTTTCTCAAAATAAAGGAGCTAATTTATAATTTACTCCATTTCAAATAATTTTTTATTATTTTTTGTCTAACAAAGGTACTTGAAATAGTTGGAACTGTCGAGGGGGTGTCTCCAGCAAGCTCTGCGAACATGTGATATGCAAACAAGACAAGTAGGTCCTAACAACCATCTTCCAATTTGCCAAACCTTTAACGAATTAAATAAAACTCTATAAAAAAGAAAAAAGAAAAAACAACTATCTGCACTGAAATATGAAAAGAAAATTTACTGCTCCTAATAATTTTAACCATTGATGGATGGAGTGAATTCCATAAAGAAAATCGACCATCAGGTGACTAGGATTATCCAATAGAAAGAAGTAATTAAGATTATTTGGAAAACTCTTAACAAATATTACTCAAGACCCAATTGTGGCAACCTATCATTTAAAAAATAAAAAATTTTAAGATCCAATTATGAAAGAATTAATTGGAAACTTATTTCAACGTCATCTTAAAAAATTAAAAAATAAAAAAACCTAAATTCACAATCCACCCATCCAAATTAACTCTCCTCTAAGAGAAAATCACCATAGTCCTTTTGGGGGTACCAAACACGGATCCGACGATGGTGACCTATTGTCTCATGCGTTGCAATTGCTTGGGGACAGTGACATTGAAAAATGACAAGTGGGATAGATACATATCCTTCCCTCCTTCATTGAGCAAACAGGGACCCGAGAAAGAAGAATGAAGGGTCGCTATCCAACGTCAAGCCACGTGTAAGGCCAAGAGTACCTAACTCCAAAATCTACGGATTAAAAAAATGGAACTGATTGTGGGTCCCACATACGCTGTCCACCATGGTAAATCGAACATGCCTGTCCTGCTACAAACATCACACCTCCATGGTGAAACGTCATGATCAAGTGATACTGACCACATGACCTGTAATGTATAGATGGATTTGTTTTTTTTTTTTTTGAAAAAAGGAAGTTAACTTTTATTTCTTTCACCTTCGTGCAAATAATTGAATTGAAAATCGATAAAGGGATTTGTTTTATTTCATATTTCTATATTCTCCTAAAAAATATGGAAGGATATAAATCCGTAACACGTGACCTTTATTCTTAATATTTGATTTCGTCTCACTTCCAATTGTTGTTTAATAATATTGTTAAATAGCATGACCTTTAGAATTTCAATGAATCATTAGATATTTGAAGGATTCAGTTCATATATTGAATTGAATTTGTTAGTTGAATTTTCATTTTATCTAAAGATTTAAACTTTAATAAGAACACTCATTCTCAACTTAGATATATATATATATATATATATATATATTGCTTTTTATGTTTTTATTTGATGCGAGATTATTTTTCAACAAGAAATGCCCTCTCTCTTCCTTGAGCACTCATACCAGTTAAATACTTATAAGTAAGAAGATGGCAACGGATCTCCCTCAAGTTGTAAGTGCGGGATGATCTCCATGCATGGTTTTTTTTTTGGCTCCCATTCAAGAGCAGAAAGGGAAAGAACATGAGCAAATGGGTTAAAGAAGAGGCTTTTCCCTTATCATTCTCTCACAAAACCAAATTCAAAGTCCCCCTTGTATGGACCTCCCAAGAAGTGTTGCCTCGGGTCACTTCAAGAGCTGAAAGCAGATTCGGAGGGGAAGAGAGAGAGCACCTTGAAAGCATCTTCTGGACATATTGAAGCCTAAAAAAGCAGCAGGCTCTTTTGAAGCTCTAAATAAAAAAATAAAAAAGGAGAGAAAAGAAGAACACCCTTCCTCGGAAAGTATAATGATATGCAACTTTTCATCAAGGAATTGAGTCAAGCACTTTTGTCTACAAGAAGCCTCCTTGGAGTTAGGGATTAATCAGCTAATAAATTTGAAGAACAAAAATATGGTAAAGATACAAATATACCCAGCTTTTGTCCTCTTCAAAAACTGTTTTGTCGGTCATTAACAAAACGCTAATTGGACATCAATTTTTATCTGGTCTAAAAGACTGAAAACACATTAATTTACTAGATAACCAATGGGATCCCTTTGCTTATGGATGAAGCATATCGAAACTTGAAGTGTAATATGTACTATACGTAGATTTTTAGAAACTCATAGCCAATTATTACTTCTTCTCTTTTCCCCAAAAAATTAAGTTTCTTATATATTTTTATTTTCTAGCTAATTAATTTTGCTAACTGTTTTTCCATAAACCTATTAGATCGATGGGTTCAAATCCAGTCTTTTTAATAGTCAATTATAAGAAATATTGTTCTCAATTTTTAAGCGAAAAAACTTGATTTTTTTTTTTGAAAGACAAGTCATAATTAGAGTGAATTATCAATTAGTTTATTTAGTTTTCATAAAAAAATTAATTACTCTTTTTTCCTTAAAAACTAATAATTTAATTTTTATTTTTCTTATAACTTAGTCATTTTTGATTTTTGATTTTGATTTTTTATTGAAAAATGAAAAAATAAAGATAACTGAAAATGGAATGATCGATGGAAGAAAAGATATTTTATAAAATAAAATAATATTAAATTAAATATGGTTAATATTGATTAATGAATTAAATAATTAATTTTTAAACAAAGTAAACTAATAAATTCATTTTTTGAAAAAAAAACTAATTTATAACTTATTTGTTTAGATCTTTCCCCTAAAAAGAAAATGCATCATCGACCTTTGTTAGATTTGACTAGTTAAATATCCGTGTTATATTACGATCGGACAATCATTATATATGTAGATTTAACGATTTATATGATGTGATACGAGTAAATGTTTTGTTGCTAGAGATTAATGTAAATTGAATCTATATATTGAATGAACTTGTTTGATTTATATATATTTATTAACAAAATAATTTATAATATTAGTATAAAAATTTATATTTGAATAATGAAGAGGATTTTTTAAAACATTAATTAAATTATTTTATTTAAAAATATAAATTTTAAAAGATGAAAAAAATGAATAACAAATAATTGATGTTATGTGTACGAGATATAATTAATTTATAACAAAGCTATATACATATATATATCGTACTTAGCAGATTCGAGTATATAGAATAAATAAAAAATATATAAAAAAAATTTACTTAAATCGTATGAAATATATGGAAGTGAATACATACATACATATATATATATAATCAAATAAAACCCGTGAATTTTTTATCTAATTATTAATCTATTTAAAAAAAATTGAGTCAAATTATTAAAAAAAAAATTAAGTCAAATTAACTAAAACACGTATTTAGCTCTTTTTCTCGTCGAATTTATATAAACAACTACACTACTCTCATTTAAAAATAATAAAAATAGTCAATTGTATAAATTATAATAATATATTTTAAAAAATAAAACAATCACGTTCTAAAATTTTATTTCAAAATCTATATATAAAAACAATAAAAACAATATAATCGGATATATATATATATTCATACTAAAATCTTAAAAAATATCTTATGTTTTCTATTACCGTCAAATTATACATGAAATTAAAAAAAATAATGATCTTTTTTTAAATTTCATATCTAATTTCATGATTAAAAAAATATAAAATAAATTATTAGAATAAAGAAAAAAACAAACGATGATTGGTATTGCTTGTGCAGAGTTTGTGTAATCCTGTGAGCCAGGGCAAGCCTGCTTGAGCTCGCTTATTTAGATAGCAAGTCCTCAAAAAAAAAAAAAAAAAAAAAAAAAACTCCAATTCTTTTAGGTTTTTTTTTTTTTAACAATATTTGTTTAGACAAGTCATAATTACTCATATGTTACTATGTACTAAGGCTCTTAACTTGAAGAATAAACATTCCCTAAATTTGACCGGTTTTCTCTAGAATCGAAGCAGTAATCATAGTTTCTAATTTTATTATTATTATTTTCCAAATAACAGTTACTTAGAGTTATGCTGCCTAAATCTTATCCCTCCATATCTAGATAGAGAACTCAATTTTTTATTATTAATTTTTTTTTGGACGTCTCTTTGTATTTTGTAATGGTATTGTTAATTAGATTAAAAATTTAAAATAAGATTCTTCCTTTTTGCATTTCAAACGTTTATCTGATGATAAATTATGCGGAATGCATAATATTCTAGCTTTAATAATATCACACAAAGGAATTCTTTGTCATATATTCGTGATTAGCCACAATAGTTGAAGCCTTTATTTTATAAAGAGTTAGTTTTTTTTTGTTTTAAGGTCGCAATATTTCACATACTCATTCTCACTCAAATTAGAACATTTATTGAGAAATTTTCTTATAGCATCCTCTCATTGAATTCTAAATCCGTAATACATGTTAATAGCGAAGGAAAAAAATATTAAATACATCAAAAGTTGTATGTACCATTTCTTTTCTCACATATATATGTGTGTGTGAATTCCAATATAAATTTATCCATAGATTTCATTTTGATATAAAAGAGAAAGACAATGTAAGGGCAACGCCAAAAACATTTGTGAGCATCCACGGCAAATGGGAGAAGTAATGAAAAGAAAAGCAAAAGATAGCGATGATGTGGAGATCTGAATGAAGCCTTGAGGTACGTATGGGTGTGCGTGTGCAAGAAAAATTCATGTAGTCTTTTCCTTCTCTCTGATCTCTTTCTATACTTTTACAGATGCTTGCCTACCGTATCTTCCCAAACTCTCCTTTAAGTTTCCTTCATTGTTTTTATTTTCACTCTTTCTATCCTTTTCTTTCTCCATTTTCTTTATGCAGCTTAGAAACAACGCATTCTTTGAATCCCACACATTTTCTTGTTACGAATTTCCAAAATCCCAAAAGTAAGCACTCATAATTGTCAAAAGTCACTTAGGTAGGCCCTCCAATAACAGAAACCCAAACGATCTTATTGGTCTCTCGTCTCTCTTCATGGTCAAGACTCTCTGTCTCATATGTTTGGTGGAGATTTGGCTCCACAGGGACTTTTGCATGGATTTGTTGGCTAGTTTCCAAACCACGGGTTTTAATTTTTCTTTCTATTTATCCCCATCATCTTCTCTTATCTCCGTCCTTTTGTTTTATGGTTATCTCATCGAGGTCAACCCAACATTCACTTCTTGTGTCTCTTTCATGTTTTTTTCTCTCTTTCTTTTTCCCCTTGTCATTTATCATTCTTTCTCCTGAAAAATCAAACTCGGTCAAATCTGATTAGTTCTAAATGTTTCTTCCTTGTTTTTGTCGATGCCTTAAAGAAATTAAAGGGGAATGTATGTTTTAAATATTGGTGAAACCATCATGCATCCAAACAAAACTTTTGTCTATTACGACCCGTAAGCTTCCGGGAATTTATTATTACTATTATTATATTTTTTTGGGTACTTTTGTGAAACGTTTGCTCATTATTTTTCTGTTCAAAATTTTAAATATATAATAATTATTTGGAGCTTTAGAAATTTGCAGTGTCGTCAATCCCTTAAATTCATGCATATTTCCACGTCTAAGACGCTATCAAATTTTGTTAGGTCTTAAATATTTCCCAATCAAATGATCATAAGATGCCCATATCAAACCTTAAATTTGAGTCTCTAACCAAAAATAAAAAATAATAATAATTCAGTCAAACATGGATGTATGATAATTCTTCCGACATTCCAAAAGAGATCGATATATTTGAGTCCATAAAACACTAATAGGAGTGTAGAGAAATTATTCAATACATTTGAATTGTATTTCACTTCCTCACATAAAAAAGGGTATTTATGAATTATTTTATTTTTTTGGTGAATCGATGTCTATGTAAGAAAAAAGAATATAATTACTAATTTTTTATGTAGTGTGAGCCAACTGGTGCAAGGAACTTTTGGGTTTCTTTTATTTTGTGGCCAAAATTTTAAAAGTAAAAATAGAAAGGGAAAGGAAATAAAAGGGCGCAGAAAACATACAAAGGGTTAGACATTCCAGGCATGCCATGTGTTATCTATTATTGGATAGAAGATTATAAGAACCATACAAAAGGCCAAGAAGGAGAAGTTAAACAAAAAAGTCCACATTAAATTACAAGAATTTGCGACTCTTTAACCTCTTCGGACCATGTCTTTAAGTGGTGGTTGCCTTGAGAAATAATTGGTGCAAAACACCTTTCTTTGGGTAATAATGGATTGTAATACCAGTAGATTTCTTTCGGGTATGGGGATAAGACATCATGCCATCATGATCATGACTAGGTTTCCCTCACTTTTATTGTAATTCCGACGGCAAAAGGTTGAAGAAGCAATGATATTGACTTCATCCTGCCACTGAAAACCAGTTAACAAGTATTGGATGGTAGGATTTCTTTTAGGGTTTGTTCCCTGTGGGCCTCTTTAATTTCTCTCTGGATTAATTAAGGTTGACATTCGAAGCCCTACTTCTTTCAATGAGAAAAGTGATAACGTACCAAATATCTGTTGGTCAACAACCGGAAGCTGAGTGACAACCTGACATAATGGGTGTCATTGAGGATGGGGCCGATGTCATGTGGTTTTTAGCTTTGGAATGGACGGCCGGCTCTTGTTGTGTTTCGTCAAAGTCATTATCAACTTGTTATAACCACCAAGATTCATTATTATTACTATGATAAGTGAAAAACAGATTTACGAGGCCATAATTGAAATGTTTTGTGATGGTATTTAGGGTTTGAAAGGATAAGATATTCTCAAACCAGCTTCCGATCACATCCATTTGGAAGGATAGGATATTTTCACACCAGCTCCTGATTGCATCCATGTTTAACTCGACTATAGTAGAGCTAAAACCATTTGGAGAAATTTTTCTAACCATCTCCCCTTAGATTTGAATCCATTAATGCCTTCTTGAAACTGAAAATTTTGTACAAAACAGTATTTTCATTGAAAGTGCCACGCCAACTGTTAACTACAGACAGATTACAGATAAATAAAAGAACAACAAATCCGTGAGATTTGTATATTTTAATTTTTAATATCAGTCAGATGTTAGCAGCAACGTATCCATTGAAATAAATAGCCCATGAGAGCGAAATGTCTAAATTCAAGGAATGAAATGCATTCTATTGGACCTTCACAGCATACAGAAGGGATCGAGTCAACTGAATCTCATCTTCACGATAATCACTATAAATCGACATATCATCTGGATTCATTAATGTATTTCACATGACAGACGCTGCCGGAAAACTAGTGCAGGAGTTGTTAACACGAGAACAAACAGGTATGAAATTCTATTTTTTCTGCAGAAAGATCCCCTAAGAGTTCAGGGGAACAAGAAGAAGCAAAACTGGAGGATCTCAGTCAAGGTGACCATTCTGCAGGCTTTACAGTCCCTCGTTTTCAATAATATAAAATAAACGTCCACAGGAATATACAACAGAAAGCAAATTCTAGTTATGATATAACAGCATTGATGGTAATCAAAATCCTCAAAGCTGCAAAAATTTGTATAGTTCTCCCCTGCCTCACGGATCGGTTTTCTTATAGAAGCATGCAACTAAAATTTCAACGATGACCATCTTAAGCTCTGTAATCAATCAGCATAATAGCGTTCAGTGTTCGTGGTAATAAAATAGGAATTTTGATAATTTGGTAATGAAGTATAAATTAATGTATCATGTCGGAAATAGTAATAGTATTGGGCCTATAATGATGAATGGAGTACGATCTTCCTTTTTTGCAAAGCAACACTTGAATCAACACTGGTGAGGGCTGACATGGACCTTGCATGAAATCAATAAAATGAAATTCCCAGAGGAAAGCCTCTATCCTAGAGATCAACATATATAAAGGCAATACAGAGGTATACGATGCCTGAATAACCAGCAAAGTACAATCAATCTCAAGTATTGAAACATATTAGTATACAACCAAAGCATTCTGTCCTGCAGGGTTTCCAGGGAGAATTGTTGAAGAGACCTGGTAGAGTTGCAAATGTATCTTCATCATCCTTCTCTGAGGTTTTTAGAGCAATTACTCTCTTCGTCTGCTCGCACACATTCCTACTTTCACGTCTAAGCTTGTTCACGCTCCTGGCTTTCCAGAGTAAACAAAACCTGGAAAGTTTTGGCTCCCTGCTCTTAACTTGTGTTGATAAATAATTTCAATATCAAACCCCATATAGTGGTAAGAAGGTTTTAACAAAGGAGTATGCAAGTGCACCCGTGAAAATGTAACTGTCGGATCTGTCCAGTATTCCACCTGCGGGCAGTATTGGATGTTAGAAAATCATTTGAAAAAAGGGGGAAAGCAATATATAACCTGAGTTAAAATATATATGGAATTTCCACTGCAGATCGAAAGAAGACACAACAAAGAAAACTGATATCAATTGAATTGACATTTGGTAATAAAACTGTGAGTTAAAATGCAAGAAACTTCCATTTGTTCCCAGATGCTTTTCCCTTAACTTGCTAAAAGAATGGTTGTATTTGTAATTAGGAGCAACATGAATTTTCAGAGAAACAAAACATTGTCATTGAAACTTCGTTTTTGAGGTGCCTGAAAAGGAAGATAATAGAGCAGTGAAAGTGTCACATCATGCACCTAGCACAGGAAAAAGGAAAACAGAAGGGTACTATCCACCAATCATATCGTACTGTGTGTGTGTTTGGCTTAGAGGGCAGTGGTAGCGGTGTAAGCCTTTAGAGTGGGGGAGCTTTTGGAGCAGTGAGAAAAAGATAGGGGTGTTTCGTTTAGCCAGCAGTTGAAATTGTGCTTCCATTGAAAAAATTAGTAAAAAAAATACGCAAATTTAAGGATATATGTATAACTTAAATGATAAAAAATATTTAATATTTTCTACATATTTTTATATATTAATATACTTAAAAGTACAAGGTATATAGTGTAAAAGCCGCCAAAAAAGCAAAGAAGCTCCAAAATAGGCCTTCTCAGCATTTAACTTTTTATGTGTAAGGCTCATGCAGGCCCCATACTAAAATTTTCAATAACCAAAAGTTACCACTACCCTTTGCCCTAAAGGGGGCTCAGGCTAAAAGCCATGAGAAAAGAAAAGACATCGTGCGCTAGTGAGCCTTTTAAAGTGCAACTTCCATTGCAATTGAAACTAATGGCCATTAAAGATATGAATCACCAAAATAAGAGGGTTAAACGTAAAGGAAAATTGAAACCCTGTAAAACAATGCGGATATATTATGGCGATGGCCCGTTTTTAAACCATACTAAAACTACTTGAAACTGTTTGACATATGAAAATGTAGAGGATAAAAAGGATTGGAAAAGGGAGCCCAAGGGAAACTCTAGCAATAGCCTCACGGATAGAGAAAGAATGATAGCCATAGAAGATTAATTAAATAAAAAAATACACAACGCAAACCAATCATCTACATAACTCAAATCAAAGAAGTAGCACAGCAAAATGCAACCAGATAGGTGCTGTACATAAAGAGTAAAGAAAATGACTTGGTGTCTTATCAGATAACAAAAGCATGAGCAAAACATATTACCGTGTCCAGGTATTAGAGAGCCAGAGTCCTTGACACCCGCATCACGTTTGATCATTGACTCAGTAAGATCCCCAAAAATAGATCCAAAGAAGTTTAGAAACCCAAAAGCAATTGCACTGAAGGCCAATCAAGAGAATGTCAGGTTCCCATCAACAAATTCTAAAAGGACAAATGATGCATACTGACATAAAAGAAATATTTACAGCAAAATAGTACATATTCTGCCTTTCATTTTATGCTGATTCAAGTTGTTCTAGCAGAAGACATATCAATAAATTTTAGATACTATTTTCCAGGAATAAAGACAAAGCTGCAGTTTATCTTATTGACTTCTCAAGAAATGCGAATGAGATGCATATGCCAGTCAGTCATAGATAAGCTAAGTAGCCATTACATATTCAATCTAGTTAAAGATGTGCAAATGAGCTACATGCCATTTTTGTCCATCACCAAACATGAATTATATCTACTATTACACATAGTAAAAGATAAGAGAATTGAACTACCAAGACACCTTTTCTCAATAGCAACCCACCCCAACTATATATATGGATGTAAGAGAAAAATGAAATAAGACAATACCTCATAACAACAACAAAGCCTCGCAACACTACATTAAAATGGGAATACATGTCTCATTCCCAAGTAACAAAAAAGGGATCTGTCAGGTATGCCCGACAAAAACAATAAACAATTTATTCAAGAAAGTTCACCCAACATACATCCTAATTCATTTACATTGTTCATAATTTTATTTCACTCATGGTTAGAGATTAGAAGAATTTGGGGCTTCAAATAATGCATCCACGAACCTTGTTTATACACTAATAGCAATCTGTGAGAAATTTATTAGGAGTTATCATGGCTAAGGTGATTGAATATTTATGCTACATGAAATAATGCATCCATGAACCTTATTTATACACTAATAGCAGTCAGTGAGAAATTTATGAACAATTATCATTGGCTAAGGTGATCGAATTTTTATGCTACATGATTAATATTTTTTTTATTAGCCTCCAATTATACAGAGTTGAGACACATGAATAATGGATTGAAAAGCATAAAAAAGAGAGAATTTACTGATTCTGCTTTTATCAAAGGCTAGTGAATACCTTAGCAAGGATCTTGGCCAGCAAAAAAACTTTGATAGCACCACAGAAGTGGCTATACAGCCGCCCAAGCCTACAATTGTTCCTTCCCATGTCTTCTTTGGACTAATACTAGTTAGGGGTGTCCTGCCAAATGCCTGCATCAGATTAGCAAAACTATCTCATGCTGGTTTGATGAAAGGACAAGGGAGAATTTAGAACATAGAAAAGAACTAAAAATGAAAGTCTTTAAGAAAGCTCAGCACGTTCTTGTATCCAGCAACCTTATAAATGGAATATCAATCATCTTTCAATGTAAGTCAAAGAAGAAACGAGAATAACTCTGTGAAGATGTATGAAACAGACTTGCATATATATTTTCTGGAAAGAAGCATTACATCTTGATACTCCAGTTTGTCTTTATGTTTGCAAACTACTCCAAGTTTTTCTTTTCTTTTCTTTTCTTTTTTTTTTTTTTTTTTTGTTTTTAATGATTTACAAACTCAGAACTTTATAGAAAAACCAACTGCTTAAATTTCCAGAAAAACAAAAGGATTCAATTGCTAAAAGCTCAGAACTGCAGAAGTCAACTTTAGCAAATTGTGGAAAAGCAATGGCAGAACATGAGTTTATGTTACAAGATATCCAACAAACACACACACATACAACCCTTTCATGCTTAGGTTGATTTTTCGTTATTTAAAGCATATGTGCCATTATGGCAACTATAAATCAGAAGCGATCTATGCTTATCTGTTGTAAGCTGCTCATGACTTCCCTTTGAAATGGAAACTTACATACATTAAACAATACTTGTACATTAAAATTATAATGGAAAATATAGCTCAGCTGACCATTTCAGCAATTCAGTACCTTGCCACCCATAAAAGCATATGTATCGGCCGCAATGATGCTGCTCATAGAAATCAAGGTAGCTACAAGACCCACAGTCCAATGAGCTTGCCCACCAAGAAGAACAGGCCATGCTGTTCCTATTCCTGCCAAAAATAAAATGCATATGAAAATCAGGTTGCTAAAAGCACCAAGTCTTAAATCAGGCCTCACAATACATATAGGAGAACTGGGTTCACAAGACGGGAAAAGGTGATTTTACAATTGGTATAACTAGTGTCAGAGGATCCTGCTAAAAACAGGGAAGTCCATGCATTTTGCTAAGCCACATCATCTTCCATTTATAACAGGCAAGGGACTCTTGTTGCAATGCACACTTAGATGTACAGAGGTCTTAACTGAAAGAGAGGGTTCAGGCCCTACAAAAATAAACAGGTCCAACATGGGAGTCCATAGACTAAACTCTAATACCATACTAGCACAACAATCTAAAAACTCGATCTGGATGTGAACATCTCCATATTCAGATTACTCCGTATGTTCTTTCAGTCACACCTTCAATTTAAAGACTTACATATACTGCATGATACTGTATTAATTTTTTATGTGTCACAAATATCAGGAAAATAAATGGATTATTCTCAGTTCATCATATGACATCAAAATTTAACAATATAGCAAACACGTTCCTGTTTACAAGCTTCCTAAAATCTAACATTATCATTACAGAAGCATACAGAGCAGCTTCTTACTAGTGTTCAAGGCAGGGGATGCTAAACCACATCGAAGCTTCACCCAGAAACAAGGAAGATATCCACAATAAAATAGCCCAAACATAGTACTACTAAGCTGAGCAAATCGAGGATTCCCTCTCTGTAGAAGCAATGCTATTGCTACAACAAAAGCAGCATATGTCACTGGAAAATCAATCTGACCAAAATACCTGACCAAGTATGAGAAAATAATAATCAGCAATCAAACAAAAAAATTTAATATTAGTGTTAATCTTACAAGTATGATAAGTTAAATGCATGTACAAAATATAGATTAGGACATGTCAAAATCCATACAAGGTAAGCATGGGCATGAGAGCACAAATAACAGAGCAAACTCGTGACACATATCGAGGTGGTGGAGTCATTCCTACAGTGATTCCATGACTTCTAACCAATTCAAAGTATTCACGTGCACCAACAAACACAACAGCCGTTAAAGCCAAAGTAAAAACCCATCCTCCAGCTAATACTATGCCTCCAGCAGAAATCCCAATCACAAGTCCAAAAATAATTCTTTTCCTCAATTGACTTGCTTTCTGTTGATGCTTTGAAGCAGAATCCTCTTTTGCAGGTGGAAGGTGACCTTTCTCGCCTTCCTACAGCATAACCATTTAATCTTACAACCAAGCAAAATAAGAACAAAATAGATAAATAAAATGCACATACACTGCACCCAATTTACTTGATATCTTGAAATTTCAACTTCACTACTGTCTTTGTACTTCACAGTATATAACATAAGTTGCTTGTAAATCGCATGTTATTCTCATTTTGGATGATTGAAGATATGGCAACTTTTGCCAATTATGGAAATCTAAACCTCTTCTATATTCAAACATTGTCCTTTTCCAATTTGAAAATTAACATACTTGAATATCCTTGAACCTGCGACTGATTTTGTTAATGATAAAGATGATTTTAGCACTTCTGGGAACTAGAAATTCACAACCAGCCTCCTTATCAAGTTTATGTTTGCCTTTTTGCAGAGTGACCTCTAGCAATCACTGGATCCAGACAAGGATTCTGAAATGATTTTCCAGCGGGAAAGACACTTGGGAGATGTGCAGGATATTTACTTTCTAAAAAATGACTTTGTAAAACAGATAGCATATATTAAAATCACTTAATATCACAAGCATGCAACACCTTGGCAAACAGAAAATCGCATAAAATTACCAAGTCAATAAAACAAAACGCCAGATACATTACCATCCTAGAGAAACGTTAACAATAACAAACACAACCAAAACCGTTCCAATACCTGTCCATCAAAAGTTGGAGCCCTAGGAATTAGTAGAGTCTACCACCACATAATACACTCCATCAGGAACGACATTGAAGTGAAAAGAATTATGAGTGATAACTACTAGTAACTTAGCACTTCGAGATCATGTGAAGGGAAGGGTATTTTTATGTGGCATACAATAGTAATTCCTTGATTCATAGCCATGCTAGCTTTTGACGTAGAAGTATAAAAAGGTTCTTGTTTATTGGCACTTTGTTTTACTGACTTAGCAACTAGGAAGCACGAATAATCCTGCCTCATAGGTTAGCAATTTAATGTAAGTGATTTCAGCTTTAAAATTCTTTTTCGAAACGGAAAATACCTAACCTCACTCCCACTCATCTTCCCCGCCGTAACTACTGAAATGTAACAATTATTGCTAGAATTCGCTCAGCAGCAAAAACTTGATTACATGGGCTGAATCTAAATTTCCAGTAATCAAAAAGTGTCAATTATAAAAACAGCAGAAACACATTTTTATAACCTTTTTGGCACCGTCTTCGCCGATGCTATCAGGCTCAGCTCTAGCCACGGCCGCAATTAACCGCCGCTTTGCCGTCATCCTCGTCGTGTGCGCCGGAAATACTGTTTTGGATCCATTTAAGAGGAGACCGAAGTTCAGTTTCTTTCGATTGAGAATTAGGGATTTTTTAGATAATAGAGGACGGTGGCATGGGCAAGTTGCTGACAGTACTGGTATCAAATGGAACCGCTCAATTTCTACGAACGAGGTGGACGCCATAGAAATTGAAATAAATAAATTGTAAAACAGAGAAAAATAAATGAGGTCAAAATTTTATAAGCATGACGATTTTTTTATTTTTAACAGAAAGCCTGCTGAGTGAGGATTTGCTGATTGTTTTTTTTTTTTTTTTTCCCGGTTTATATTTGGTTGAGATGGTGAGATTGGAAATGCGTTGCGCGTCACATAGTAAAATCCGAAGTTCGTTCCTTGTGAACTTCATAAAGCTCGCCCCAACTATAGGGATAGTCTCATCTACGTTTTCAAAAAATTATTTGTCTCAATTAGGCCCACAAAGACCAAACTACTGAGAAATTCTGAATTTGTTATTAAAAAAACGATAACAATCATAGAATTAAAAAAAATATATAAAATAAAATAAATTTATTATAAAATAAAATGAATATAAGAGATAATAATTTTAAATAATTTCTCAATATCTACAAAATACTTATACTCAAACTAATAAACAATAAAACTTATTTATAAGTTTCAAAATTAGAAAGAAAATTAAAAGAAATTATAAATCATTAAAAGATACATAAATAATTAAATAAATTATAACATTTTTTTAATTTTTCATGATGAATTGAATCATATAAATAATGAAAATATGAAATGGACTTCATTATTTCATAACAGAATTAAGTTTCTATCTCTGCTTTTTACAATTTTTTTCAACGGAAAACACAAATTTTCCTATTAAAATAGTCGTTGTTTGCTGAAGCCTTGGATGGATTTCATTAACGGGAATGGATGGAGGACTCAATTGAGTATTTATTTACACCGTCGAAACCTAACTAAGACAAAAAAGTCTTTGGGAACTTAGTAGACTATCCGATTTCGACTCAAACTCGACTCAGCGTGCATTTCGTTCATATTGTTTTTGAACCTGATTAAGTAGAATATATTCTTACGAAAACGTTTCTTTTTGCACTTGACGTAGCTTATGTTCATGAAAATGTTCCTCAATACGAAGAAACTCATGGGATCGGAAAGATAAAGCCAAATCTTGAAATTAACTATGATTGATTAAAAAATATATATTTGAATTTTCAAAATAGCAATTAGAAAAATAAAACATACAGTGAATTGATATAAAATTATTTTTAATTGAAACCTCATCTCATGAGATGATTCTTCCACAACACAAAATATAAGAGTACATGCATATATATATGAACAAACACTTGATTAATTCAAGATAAGGCATCTTCGTTTATTTTGGCAAAAGGCAATCGAGATTGAAATATAGTAAAACCATCATCACCATGGACTGGGCGAGGTAAACCAATTAAAATTACCAGCTCACATTTTATTAATAATTCACCTTTAATTTGTGCAGGCAAAGAGATCATAACGATCCTCCGAGAGCACGTAGTGCATTGGTTGGTTATTGCTCCCAAGGTAAAGTTCACCAAGGTCCTCTGTTGAACTTCCCTTGACGGAAACATTCCATTGAGATCCTGGGAGTTCAAGTTCAATCTCGAGACAATAGAGATTTTTAAGCAACCCAAAATCCCCCTTATAATTTCTTGATCATCATCATCATACCTTATTGCAATTGTTACTAGTATTGGCAATTCTGTCACTTGTTGTGGACATGTAATAAACTTCTCTTCTACTTCAGACAAATTGAAACTAGCTCATCTTTTGGTACAACCGATTGCATTTTTTAAAGCAACCGAAAATTCCCCCTTGTAATTATTCTTTTTTGGGTCATCGGGCTGTCCAGTGAATGTTGCAAAAATTTTAAATTTCTGTATGTTTTGCTTTAGGGTCTGTAAGCCACAACCACAAATTGGCTCTATTATAGAGGACCTCCGTAACTACCACGAATTGGCCATCTTTGCTTATAGCTACACCCACTGGTAACCCAAAGATTTCGTAGCAATACTGTTACTTGTTTGCTTCTTGGAACATACTTTAATAGCCTTCCACTCGTGTCTCCACTTGAGGAATGCTTCGTTGAATTAACTGCAAACAAAGAATTCAAGCTTAGACATTTTTAACGCGTACGTCAAATCAATATGTCAATTAGTTCCCCGAATATTATTCTAAAAAAAAAAAAAATCATTTGGCCATCACATATATGAGATTCAATTATGTGTGTTTTCTTAAAGAATTACTCAATTAGCACAAACAAGTTACATCTAACTGTTATGTAACCGGCTAGTTTTTTTAATAAAACAATGATTCTAGTTTATATATATATATTTATTTATATAACGAGAAAAAGCTGTTCTGATAAGGTTTAATATTTTGAGTTTAAAAACTAAGATATTTGTTTTTATTTAAAAAAAAATAATTCAAAAGTTTAAATTCCTAGGTGATCAAAATGAGAATCTAGATAAGTATTTAACGAGTCATCAATTTAATCGAAGTTACTGCCTCGTTACCTTTGTAGAAATTTAGTGCTGGGATCCCTGAAAGAAATTGCTCCAGTTTCTTGATCAATATCTATAGCATTAAGAAACCAATAAAGGATCTTCTCCTGCAGACCTTGAAAGTAAGATGGCATAGGGATGATAGTGGATGGAATACAAAATAAGTGTCTGGCGATTAATTATCTTTTTAAAATATTTTAATAGGTAATTGGTTAAACATAAATAAAACAATATTACCTATTTATATTAATGAATAATTTATTTATCAATATGGATATTCTTCTTCTTTTTTTCTGTCCCGGTGTTATCCATCTTTTATCAATAAATAAATAAAAAAACTAAAACAAAAATTTCAATTCATTGAGTTTTTGTATATTTGTTTGCTTCAAAATGAGGCTTAGCATTGGACCAACCTTGACTTGGCCGAAATGAGCATCGGCAATATATAGACATCCAGTTTTAAAGTAAAATCCCAAAGGCCTATGGCCTTCAACATATGGGTTCTAAGGCAGGCTGAAAATTGCCATCACACGACGTCGGCCTGAAGCAAAAGAGACGATATTGATTAGTGTATTAAAAAAAAAAACACATGCAGGGTAAACTTTAATTTTTGCACCTATATATTTACCAATGTTCCACTTCTACGTCTATAGAAAATTTTTCCAATACTATCCTTTTAGTTTAAAAAAGGTTCTAATATTATCTATGACCATTAAATAGTTTACTTTTTGAAGTTGGTTTTTGAGTTTTTTTTTTTTTTTTTGGGGTTTTCAAGTATTTTTATGCATATATAATCTGAGGATTTGAGAGAAAAGTAAAAGAAAATACGTAGCTTTTTGTTTAGTTATAATTTAGCAATAAATGGTAAATTTGAAATTTTAAAAATATTATATGGGTAATATTGGATAATTTTAAACTATGGCAGCAGAAGTGAAATATTGATGACTATTTGAGGAAAAAATATATAGTTTACCCATAAATTTACACATGTATGCACATGGTCTTTAGTAACTTTAAGTATCTCCAACATGATTTCTCCTTTTTTTTTTTTTTTTTTAATATTTTGATTCGATTTTCAGTTAATCAAACTCATCAATAGAAAAACTGAACTTCAACCAAAAAAAATTTGGTTTTTGGGTTTTCGATTTATATTTTTTATAAAAACCAATTACGTTTTTTTATTTTTTTAAAAAAATAATATAAATAGACAAAAAAAAATATATATGTTATGAAGGTCCTTCCTCTAGGTTAAATTGTCTAAATTAACCTATATGAAAGATAATAAATGTTTATTTAAATAAAACTAAAGTAAAAAATCACACTACACAATCAGATATCAAAATTCAAAACAAATCCAATAATCTACATATAAGCTATATAATGATAAAAAAAACCAGTAATTGTTCAAACATGGTGCAAACCAAATTATCAAAAATCAATCAAAAGTTCAAATATGTTCTAAAAAAATTCAATCACTAACAAAAATTGAATTATATTTTTTTAAAATCAAATCAAAACCAAATAACTGAAATTAATTCGATTGTGATTTTTTAACTGAATTTAATTAAAACCAAAGGAATAATCAAAATTAATTATTTTTTAAAACTAATATTAGTTAAAAACCACATTGAATGACTATTTCGGTTTTGGTTATTTGATTTTAATGGAATACTGCTCATCTTTAACGAAAGGGGAAGCTTTTTTATAGAACAGGAAGGGAGGAGCCGAGCAAAGAAAAGACTTAGAAGGAAACAAATAACACTTCCATTGTAACTTGTTCAAACAAAGAAAGGACTTAAAAACATTTTTAGTTAAAATTTTGATGAAATAATTATTTTAAAACCGGTGCAAATAAATAATTCTTTTGAAAGAAAGAAAGTGAATTTTTTCCTTTCCTCACTCCTCTCACGTTTATCTTGACGAAATAAAAAGCGAAATGGTAGTTTGTGATACCGAAATTGTACGATGGGATTGACAGGTTCAAGTTTCCCAGAGTTGAGAAATCACATTTAATTTTCTTAGTCAGGTAAGTTATGCTTCTCTTTACGTGGGAGGTTTACATCTATAAAATGTCTTATCCTTCTTTTGTCTTGATTTATGTATCTTTACATAAATTTGATTTTAGGGTTCAAAATGTCATATAATAAATTATTTTTTATGCATTTTTTGGTAGATTCATCTACTAATTAATTGTGATGTTGAAGTAAGAAGTTTATCTTTATTAAAAAAATATATATTTTATATGTCATTGAAGCACTGTAAGGTTAACAAATTGTTGTGTTCATCCTAATCTTCAAATGAACTTGTGTCTTGCATTTTTTTTTTTCAAAAAAAACTTTGAGTGTTAGAGTAAAAAAAATTAAAGTGGAGGAAATTATAAGTTAGTCCTTCTAGTTTTTCAAAACGAATAAAATAATTTTTTTAGTTTTAAAAACTAATTAATCAATCTTTATATTTTTAAATTATTTGTAATTTAATTTTGTTTTCCTTTTTAATTTATTTTGATTATTTATTTTAATAAATAAATAAATAAATGAAAAATTTATTGAGAAAATACATAGTTTTTTGAACAAATTCATATTAGATTAATCATAATCAATACTAGTCGAATGAATAATTAATTTTTTAAACAAAATAGATTAATTCTTTGGTTTTGCAGAACTAGAAAGATTGATTTATAATTTACTCAGTTCCGTGGCTATTCACGGGTTTGGAGGTTGAAGATGAAAATTTTTCATTTTAGTCATAGGATCTTTGTAGGTTTCAGTTTGGTTCCCACGTCTAGGCAATGGGTTTTCAAACACATTCTTATTTTTCTGTGCTTCAGTAAATAACTTTTTTTCCCAGAAGTCAACACATATATTTTTGATACATCTTTTAGGACCTTATAATTTTAGAATTGCGTTTGAATCCCCCCCCCCCCCTTTCTAACACGTAATTCTTAAAAACAATGAATTTTTTTTCCCCTTTCAGGAAGATTAATTGTACATGCATGATGATACTTCTCAAAAGCACTAAGAGATTGGGAGAAAAGAATCATAAAATACATGCTTCAATTGACCAACTGGAATCAGTGTTTAGCAAACAACTATTTTTATTTTTTTTAATAAATATTAGCAATAGACTGTGATTTTTATTACAAATACTAAAGCGGTGTTTTGCCAATAAATCTAAATTAGTTTCATTGCTATACATTTTGGATAATTAATATTGTTGTATACTAGAATAGAGGCATCTTAATACACAATTAATGAATAATACCTTATGAAGCTCTTTTATAGCTTTATATCTAGTGGAATACGCGACATGTCGCGTGTAAATGCGATCTAACAAATGGATCAGGTCATATAGAGTGGCGATACTGACGCGATGACATCGACAATGATAAGAAGAGCAAACCCAATAAAACACTGTAGCACAACATAGCCTTGTTTTTGATTTCATGGTAAGAGTTTGTAAAAGGCTAACAATCCTTTCCATTATATAGTTTTCATCTTACGACATGTTGGTTCAAAACGATGGATAATACCTAAAGACCATAGCTACATTATCAGTTGCCACGAATGCCTACAAAGACACTCATCGTATGAGCATTGGACTGCCTGGGCCTTTGTCTTGACCGTTTTGATAATAATTAGGCTAAGCGAAATTCGCTGCAAAGGTAATAATAACTATGCTTGTGGCTACAATCACGTGAGTTGAACTTAATTGTTCCACATGGACGCATGTAGTTTACAAAAGAAAAAAATTGAACGAGTCACTTTCAATTCGTCAACTATTCATAGTAATTCACGTTTTTTTTTTCCCTTCTATGTAGACCAAGTATTATTTAAATTTTTTTATTAAAACTCTCTAATTTTTTTTTTAATTTGATTGAAATCTTCTATTTTTTTAATTTTTTTTTACCTAAGATCTTTCATTATAACATTATTTATTTTTAATCTCACGTGACACTTTATCATTAAACTAAAACTATTGGTTATTAAAACATTTTAAAATATTTTTAATCTTCTTAATCTTCAACTTTTTTTCTTATAAAAAATTTATAAATTATATATAAATAATTTATAAATAATTCTAACCCTTTAGTCTTAAACTGTTTTTAATAAAATTTTATTGTAAAAAAAGATAATTAACAATACATAATTTCGAGTCTTAAAAAACATTTTAGAAATATTTTTTATAACATGTTTATAATATTTTATTAAAAAAATTTAAAATTAAGAGAGTTAAAAATATTTTATAAAATATTTTTTTATGATTTGACAATTCGAATCTATAGTACCAAATTGCATAATTTGAATCTTAGAGTATTGAAAAATAGACAAATGTGATCTAAATTGCCTAATATTCGTTATATATAATAATCAACTGGGTTGACCATTACTTGAAATGTCAAAACGACACTATTTTGACATTTTGTTGTTAATTAGGTTTTTTCAAACATTTTAAAAATATTTTAAACCCATTAATCTTGAACTTTTTTTCTTATAATTTTTTTTTAAAAAAATTAAAAATATTTTTAACCTTTCTAATCTTGAACTTTTTTCCTTATAGAATATTATAAAAAATTTATAAACAATTCTCACCCTCTAATTTTGAACTTTTTTTTATAAAATTTTATTGTAAAAAAAGATAATTAACAATACACAATTTCAAACCTTAAAAAACATTTTGGAAATTAAAATGAGCATAATTATGGATCATCCCCCTAATTTTATAAATTATAAAAAATATTTTTTATAAAATATTTATAATACTTTACAAAAAAAGTTCAAAATTAGGAAGGTTAAAAATATTTATAAAATATTTTTTATATGTAATTTATAATATTTAACAAGAAAAAAATTAAAAAAAAGTTCAAGATTAGGGGTTAAAAATATTTTTAATTTTTTTTAAAACACAATTAATAGTATAATGTCAAAACGAAGTCGTTTTGGTATTTTAAATAATGATCAATTGAATTGACGGTTACACGCAAAGGATATTGGACAATTTGGATCATGTTTAAGATTCAAATTACACTATTTGATATTATAGGTTTGAAATTGTCAAATCGCAATAAAACGATGACGAGAGTTTTAGTCTTTTTCCTTTTTTTATGTATTATTTTATTATTTAATTTTTTTATTTAGAAGGAAAAAACTATTTTTTAAAACATGCAATGCCACGTGTTAATTAAGGATAATGTATCATAACGGAGAATCTGAAAAAAAAAAAAAAAACTTAAAAAAATTGAATTTTAATCCAATTAAAAAAATAAAAAATCTCAATTTAAAAAAATTTAAAAATACAAAGTCATACACGAGAAAAACCATTTTTTTTTAATCACACTTTTCTAACAAAGCAAAATATAGAATTTTGATCTCATCGATTAATCAAAACTTCCTAATATTGATAATTTGGAGGACGCAAAGTCCATTCACATCAACCAAATTTCAAGGGTGCGCAAAGCGACCTTTTCGAGTAGCATATTGTGATCTAATACAATCAACATTGCTTTTAGGAAATGATCCACTAACACATGCCCGTATGATATAGATATATTTATATAAAAAAATAGGAAAAAGCACTACGTACTATATATATATATATACACACACATTAACAAGAAATTAAAAAACACATTTTAAAACCTAATTTAATTATTATTTTTTAATTATGCATCTTCAAGTCTAACTTTCCATCTAATTGGTAATTCTTTCATTTAAATCTTAAGTTTCATTTTATAACTTATATGTTAAAGCTTATAGAAATATTATGAGTTTTTTAGAGGAATCTATCCATAACTTTAATGATGACTATACAAGAGAAAATATTTTTTTCTAAAAAAAATTCTTATGTAAATAATACTATGTTATTATTAAATTATATAAATTAACATTTCTCTGGAGCAAAGCCAAAGCAAAAACACAAGTATAATTTAAAACTTAAGTTTGTTTGGCACTTCTGGGAAGAAAAGTTTTAAAAAATTTACTACTCATGGGGTGGATAACCTGGTGTTTGATTGAGTCGGAAACTGAAAGTAGATTTTGGTAGACAAAAGTTGGCCCGATTGGCCTATCTGAAAAAGAAAAAAAATCATATTTTTTAAAAAATTATTATTTTTCAAAAAAATAACAATGAACGGTACTGCGTTTATCTCCCAAAATTTTTGAAACAACACATCCAGTTCCCACCAAAATCAATTTGAAATCCTAACCAAATACCAGTGAGAGGCAATAAAAACTGCAAAATTATCTAGAGAAACCCTAATCCTGTAGAGAGAGATGGATGTGAAGCAAGCTGGTTCATCACTCGATTCTCTGATTTTTTCATTCAACACTCGAATCGCTGAGTTACAAGAACTCGTTATTGCCCGAAACAGTGAGTCACCAAACTCAAAATGAAACTCTCTTATCACGTTTTATGTTTTGTTTTCTTATACATAGAACTGGATTTTTTGTTCGTGCAGTGTATCCAGCGAGCAGCGTCACCGATTTGAAGGCGGTGGACGCAGCATTGAAGGCGATGGAGCTGCAAATACAATCTATCAAAGACCGCTTGCGTGAGGAGACCTTGGCAATCCCTAAAGCTAAAGTACTTGACCTTTGCTCTGATTTCCCTATCTTTGTTTTTCAATTAGGGATTTGTTTTTGTATTGTAAATTTGATTAATTTAAATCGAGTTTCGTTTAATTAGGGTTAATTATTCAGGTTAATTTGAATGATTTATTTTTCAAATTATTCTGCTCTGTTTGAATTTCAAGGAATCTAGACTTAAGGAACATTGGAATTATGCAGAATTCCCCCAAATAAAACAAAACCAAAAACAGAAATATTTTTTTTTTGGAAATTAATTTTGCTTAATTCATACACAAATTATAAAATTAAAAAAATTAATTAATTTGGCCTAATAAAATTCTTGTGGTTTTTATTCAAGGGGAATACAACATGATATTGAAGAAAAAAACTTGAATAAAACAGAATTTGCTGTCCCTTTTTTTTTTTTTTTTTTTGGTTTTTCGAGGGTTATAAAATAGAGGGGAGTTGTTTTCGCTGTGTTAATTAAGTATATGCATTTATATTTTGTGGTTTTAATTTTGAGTTAGTTTTTTTATTTTTTATTTATTGTTATGGATGCAGAAACTAATTGAAGCATCGCTAAGGCAGCAGAAAAAATTGCAGAGTATGTCTGTATATGTGCCAGAAAGAACAACCGTGAATTCAGAAAGTAATAATAGAAGGTAATGGCGTTTTTATGCGTATATTACAAGTCTCTGAATCTAAGATTTTGAGTTGCAAATGTGTTTATTTTATTATGTATTATCAGCATTCTGCCAGAACCATCTAATCAACTACCTGGTTTTGGTTCATTGAAACTTGAGGAGGAGCCTGTAGTAACACACAAGGTATGTGGTTGTCATGGAAAATTTATATTTTAATTTCAACCCATAAATATATTGAAATTAGGATTGTTGATGTTTTGTCTGGCTCGATTTGGACCAATAAATTCACTCTTCCATTCTAATTTTCGATTTAACAAACCTGGAAAAATTAGATGGATAATGAATAACTGAAATAAGGGGCAACAAACTGCAAATGATCGGTTATTATAAATTTCACAAATTTGTGCTGCAGCTTGAGTGAGAGGAAACTATTTAATCACTCTTCTAAAATTTGTTAAATTTCAGGAGAAAAAGGGTCGTGCTTTGCCACCATTGTGGTACATAACTGCTGCTGAGCTGGATTCCCTGTCTTCGTAAGTTAATCTTTCCAATTATTCTGCTTTTTTTTCTTTGGAAAGTCCTTGTTTGCATTCATAGGCTTCTTAAAGGTCATTCGATGCCATTTTCTGATGTATAATTAGAGCAAGGTCTGCTGTTTTTTTTTCTTTTGACGTGGACTGGAGCTTTCAAAACGATATCAGATTACAAATAAATAAATAAATAAAATAAAATAAAATAAATTAGCAGTGTGCTTCTGCAAGCATAATGCTAGTGTTTGTACTTGTGTCAATACTGAAATTTGAGGCATGGCTCAATCTTGCGTTGTGTACTTATGCACAGATACTGAAATTGGGAGTAGTGTATGAAGTTTCATAAAATGGATTAGTGGGGGCAAGTTGGGAATGAAGGATCTAGCATTCATATTATAATGCTCCCTCCCAATTCGGGTGCTAGCTAATGTTGATTGCAGATACATGAGAGGAAGGCTCACCCTGGAAAAGGTCAATGCAGCTATTAATGACATGGTAGCATATGCTGAAGCAAATTCTCAGCTTATTGCAGCCCCAAAGAAGAAGGTCTGTATTCAGTTCTTTTATCTGACTTCCATTAGTATGCTTAATTTTGCAACTACTCTGATTTTTTTTTCTCCCTGTTGTGAAGCTGGCAGAAAATCTATGGGAAAAAGCCTTGGTAAGTGAACTTAACTAGGTAGTATAACCTCAAATTTCTTTAACTATATTCCGCTTTGAAGGTTAAATGTTTCTTTGGAATAGCAATAGCCTCCTGAGTTGCTAGACAGTAGGGTTTTTCTAAACTAGGAGGTGCTTATGTAAAAAAATATTCAGAGTCAAAAATACATGATGAGGGAGCTGTGATTTGTTTCAAATAATTGGCATTCAGCATCGTTTTGTATTCTTAGGCAGACTGACTGTTATATGTAGTTGATTTTAGTATTTCCTTGACTGCAGGAACTAAGGGATATTGCAATGACAGAAACAGTGAAGGGAAAACACTTCTTTCTTGAAATTGACATGAAAGGACCTAGCTTGAAGCTTGACAATACAGGAAAAGCGATTTTGACTGTAAGTTGCTTTTCTTTCCCTTTTCACCTTTTGCTAGATAAATTTTCTACCCACAAGCAAATCATAGAATACAATGAGTAGTTGCATGCTTAAGAAAGTCAAATAAAGCTAATTGATCAAAAATTTAATTCTTTGAAACATGTGATACTGTTATTTTCTCAGCATAAAATGGTAAACAATTTCAATAGATTCATATCTGTTTGTAAGTTTGGTTACTAGGTGAAATGTCATACTTCAAGCATTCTGGCGTTATACAGGTTCTTCGTCACCTTGGTCGCATCACTGAGACTCGGATTGGGCATCATCGTGTTATCATTCTTTTGAAGCCTCAAACTTGATTGCATCTAAAGTATGAAACACATCATGAATATTAAGTTCAAGGAATGTAAGTGTGCGTTTCATTTGTGACAAAATATAAAATCATGGTCATGGCAGGCAATGCACCATCTAACATCTTCAGTTCCTTGTTTTGTTGCCCCTCACATTATACAATTCTTGGAGTCCCTAGCTTCAAGAACGCTCTTACTCGTTTCCTCTATTTTATTGTTGTCTTCTTTGCTCTCCTAAGCAGTTCATAGTTATGGACCCTGCTCCAGCCTCAAATCCTCCACTGGCTTCCAATAATAGATGTCCCTATATCAGTCCGGTGAGGCTGCTGCACTTCCTGAAGCCAGTTGTAATCCTTTTCCATTTCCTTCAATGTAGAGGCCTCTATCCCAAACATGAAAAAAAAGTCTGAAAATAATAAAAACATGAACTATGTTAAATTTTGATTTTAACCAGCTCATGTTACAAGTAACTATCATAAAATCCAAACCCATTTTACCTCTTCTGATTCAATCAGGAAGCTAAAAATAAAAGGAAAAGGAGAACATATATTTCATTAGTTGGGATGTCGTTATAATCATAGCTAATAAGCAAGCACTGACTAGAATTTCACTAATACAAAGCATATTACTGTGTGACGTGGTTCAGTTTACTGGTGAACACATTTAGCAGTGAAAGAATATGGCATAAATATTACAAATCTGGATCCCTTGGTACAACTTACAGAAGGAAACCGAACAATAATTGATAACCGGGTGCTCATATTACTCCACAACTCTGCCTTTTTCTTATTTTTCTCACTTCATAGCATCTCTCAACTCAGTGAAAATACTAGAGGCCAGGCAGATAGCCCCATCTTTCGACTAACCTCTATCAGAAATAGAATTCCCTCCCTCTCACCTAGTTTGACATAACAATATGGCCGAGATCCCCTCCTGCTGATTTCCTTTATTTCTTTAAACTCAACGATTCAAGTGTACTAGCTTCTTTCACTGGGTAATTTTCCCTAGACTCAAACAGTCACTCTCGAGAGCCCCCTCCACTTCCTCCCCTCGCTGGCCGCCTCACTTGGCATACTAACTCTCCCAAACCCATCATGGTTTACTCTCCAAATGATGGCCTTTCACTCACACTGCCGTGACTAATGCAGATTTTGATCGATTCGCACGCAGTGGAATCCGTGAAGCTATTGAGTCTGCCCTTATGTACCCGAGTTGCTAGTACCTGAATCGGTTGTGTCATCACTGGTTTTGCAAATAACATTTTTTCCTGATCAAGGATTTTTTGTATTGGCATGACTCAAAACCATGCATACTGTGCTTGATGGAAGAAGCGCCTCTAATCAATGCACGCGCTTACAGATGCAAAAACATCGAAAAAGGAAAAAGTCCAGCCTTTTTATGCAGGAAAATGGGTGCTATTATTTCAGAGAAACTTGGTAATTTGATAAATGGAATGGACAACAAACTTTTTCAAGGGGCAAAAGTGATCTAGGATTGCAACGTTGCAACAAATGGGACAAGTGATGCTGGAGTTTGGAGTTGCTGGATGGCCAAAACATAGGTTTTATAGGTTGGATTTTGGGTGGGGAAGTGTGAGAACTGAGAAGGTGATAACAAATAGATAAGAAGAGGCATTTTCAACCATGGGGATTGGAGATGGACGTACACGAACTGAAATTGGTGTGGTTTTGACAAGGCTAGAAACGGAATCTTTCTTTTCCCTTATTGTAATGGCTTAAAAGTTATTCAATCTCAGTTCGAGTAAGTTCAAAGAGAGAACAATTCAAAGCTTTTTGTATTTTCCAATTTCTTACATGTTCTATGGTGATTGTTTTTATTCTTAATAAGGTCTTTCAATTCGTTTTCCTCACGTTTTGTTGCAATTGCATTGATCTACCAAGTTGTGACGCCTATGTATTTGTTTTGACGTAATATTGAATCTTGAAAACTTTCATGAAGAATGAGTAACGGAAATAAAGAAGCCAGTAAGGTTTCTCCTAAAGAAAGGGAACACAGAATTTTTCTCAACCATTCATTCCATTTGAAGGTTGAAAATTTCTCAGCTCATTGCAGACCTCAAGAAGAAGGTTTATGTTCAAAATGTTCTTGTGAATTGTGAGTTGCATTTGTATATGTTCAATTCCGCATCTACACTGATTCCCCCCACCCCCCCCCCCCCCCTTCTCTATACGGGAAATATCTCCAGTGGAGTACTGGGAATATTTCCCTTATGAAGCTGGAAGAAAACCTCTGGGAAAAACCCTTAGTAAGTGAACTTTACAGGGTCATGCAGCCTAAATTTTTTTCGAACATTGAGTTTCATTTGAACGTTGAATGCTTCTCTCTTTAATTGCACTAGCCTCCTGGATCGCCACTTGACGATCTTATATTCTTATTCTAAACTAGTAGTTGCTCGTATAAATTAACCCTTTGTAAACAGAACTATAAGACATGGAAGCCTGTGTTTTCATGTCAGATACTTGGCATGTAGTCATCCTTTTATTTTCCCATATATGCAGCTGATGTTAGCCGTTTCCACTGCAATGCAGAAACTAAGGGCTATTGCAATGAAAGAAGCATCAAAGGGAAAGCAGTTTCACTTTCTTCTCGAAACTGACATAGAAGGACCTAATTTGAAGCTTGGCAACACAGGAAAAGCGAATTTGACAGTGAGTTTCTTTTGTTTTGTTTTTCACCTTCTGGCAGATGAAAAATTTTCTTATCCACAAGCAAATCAAGGAACATAAAGACTAGCGGCGTACTCGGAAAAAAGAATCATGTAAAGCTAATTCTAGTTCATTATCTACACAAGAAGAGAATTTATTAAGAAGAAGAAGAAGTATAGAGTTCCACTACAATTTGGTCGGATATCTGGCTAGAACTTTTCCAACAAGGTTTACCTGGAAATAGGAAAAATAGAACACCACCCAATTCTTCACAACACAAAATGACAACGACGTTTGTAAGTTCTGTTACTGATATGCCATGTGCATTCTGGTGCTTTACGGGTTCTTTGTCACCAGTGAGACTGGAATTGGACATTATCATATTGTAATCATTCTTTAAATCTCAAACTTTATTGTAATCATTCTTTAAATCCCAAACTTGAAAACATCTAAAATTCTACCAAGTATGATAGACAATCATCAATTCAAAAAAATGCTTTAGCTTATCCCAAACTAATTATTCGTTCCTTGAAAGCAAATACCGGCTTTCGATTTGAGAAAGCCCTGCTACAAAAATCTGTTTGCACAAATATGTCGAAGCCTACCTGCAGCATTGGAAAACAAATGCTCTTTTGGTAATTCAACGGGCTTTGATACCTTCTGCGGCCTTTGTTCTACAAGCTTCAAACCCCTTGGTGCTGGGAGGCCTCGGGTTTCCTTTCTGATTCTTTGCTGAAAGGTTCTACAGCATTTAATTAATTAATTATTCTTTTTTTATTTGAAAAAAGGGTAGATCATGAGGATTCTACTGATTCTCCTGCACCATTACACATTTAAAGTGAATGCATTAACCAAAATGCTTTGCAGCTCTGAAGTTGTAATTTAGCTTTGCCAGGTTTTTGCATTTGCCATTATTTGCTTCAACTCTCTAGAATACAAGTAAAGCAAGAAGAACACGCTCAAACACATTTTATTGAAAGGTAAATAGCTTCAGATGGGAAAGCGAGTTTACAAGAACAAACATGTTTCAAAATCATAACAACAAACATCGATGGACAGAAATAAAGGAGTTCTATGCACATTTAAAGCCTTCAGGAACCTTCTTTCCACAAGCATCAAGGAGCAAGCTAACTGCAACAGGAACTTTGAGCTTGACAACTCCCAAGACATTGGCCTTAATTGCTGTGCATAAACACAACGCGGCTTCAAGATCAGCAAGACCCTTGATAAGGGTACAGCATTCCTCACTCGGAGGGGTCCCAAGAACCTCGTGAACCAACCCCAACCAGTTTCCACAAACACCAAATTTGAGTGTATCTTTAGGGCATTTGGCTGGCTTCTTTGGGGCTGACGGAGTTTTTGGAGGACAGGCCGGTACATTATGAGATGAGACACAAGTGAAAAATATGACATTGAGCAGAACAAAAACAGCTGCTGCCTTTGAACCCTTGAAGGCCATTTCTTTCATGCAATACAAACACAATATGGTACTTTCAGTGCTATAAAAGAAGCTGTATATAGAGAGATACAAATGCATGCGCAAGTAAATACTGAAAGTAATAGGCAGCACTACAGGAGTAGTGGCCAATGTTAAGCCATGAATGCTATGTATTTGAAGCTGGATCTTTATTCAATTGTGTGAATGGCATGACTCAAGGCAGCCAAACCTTTGGCCCATTACCAAGTGCAATAATTGTGTGGTTGAGTTAATTTCTTATTTATCATCTCGCATTCTCATTGATGTGTTGCTTTCATTCTCTTTGTTCTGTCCTCCTGGAAGAAATTAACGTTCCAGTCATTTCAAGGTCCCAATCTTAATTACTGAGAATTTTATTATAAAAAACACCCTAAGTGGGTGCTCCCAGCTCACCCTACCACAAGAGCAAATAGGAGACTGTCCTGGACATGTGAAGCGTAAATAACAGAAGACTATGCCCATTTTACACAACTGAAAAAGACAAATTATCATCAAAATTCCAGCGATTACATAACACATCATGTCCGGCATTATTATTCATAGCATCTCGCACCAGCTTTGTGTTACTTAATCTGTACTGAACATATTGAATAATTTGACTTTGCAAAGTAGAGAAATCTGAAGCAACATTCTCATGCACTCTCTCATTTCTCTCTTGCAAAACAGAATAGATATAGCTGCACCGAACTCCTTTCACCTCAGAACAGCTAAAGAAAACATGGTCCCTGTCTTCTGATTTGGCTTACTTCGTAGTCATCAGCCAATTTTATATAGCCAACCAAGCCACAAAACTGTACTTTGATGGTTGAGGTGGTTGATGGCTTTCTTTCAGGATATTAATAATGAACCTGGACCAGATCATACAATATTTTGTTTCCTCACACACACACACATATATTTTTTAATGTTCGAGAAAGTCCCATCAACGAGGATAGATTTTTTAATTATCAAGGACCGGTTTGGACCATCACAGAAAGTTAAGGAGCCATTGCAGCAGAAATTTAAAAAAGTTCGAGCCGAGATTCGGCGTTTGGTGTTTAACCACGGGCCACTTATTCCATGTGGAATTTGATACAATTGTTTGGAAATCTTGCTTATGCACGCAGCAATTTGGTTAATACGTAGACTTTTCTTTTTATTAATTTATTGAGAGGGTTTTTTTTTTTTAGGAATTATTCATTTAGAATTTGGTTAGGCATTAAGTTGTAAAGATTGTAACCACGTACTGTTTTCCATTGATAGGTTTGAATATTTATACATGTTACATGAATGAATTGATATATAGTGAATTGATATATATTGGTATAACTAACTGATTCGATTAGGAGTCAATCTCTTATCTATTAATTGAGCTTTATCATTATCATGCTCTCTCAAGTTGAAAGAGTTTGGCATAAACTCTCAACTCGTCCTGAAGAAAAGTGAAGTGAGTTCTGGATAATGGTTTTGTCAGACAGTCTCCTAACTGATCATGAGAAGAAATACAGGAAACAAGCATGTCTTTATTGGCAACTTTGTCTCTAACAAAGTGGAAGTCCACCTCTAAATGCTTGGAGTGATGAGAGATAGACATGATTGACGGTCATATAAGTAGCACCAAAATTATCACACCACAAGGTTAGAGCTGATATAGGGTGATGAATTTCTTTGAGTGCGGACTGAATCCATGTTAATTCAGAAGTAACAGCAGCTGGAGCTCCATATTCTGCTTTAGTTAATGATCGTGAGACAGTGCCTTGTTTTTCAGAAATCCAGGAAACAAGATTATGACCAAGAAATATTACATAACCTATGGTTGATTTGAGATTGTCAACACAGCTTGCTCAATCCGCATAAGAGTATGTCAACAAAAAGAAAGGGGTTGTTGGTGTTGTCCAAAGGCCATGGAAAATGATGGACGGCAAATAGCATAGGATACGCTTGATTACTATCCAGTGCAAGTCAGTTGGGGCATGCATGAATCGGGACACCTTGTTGAGCTCAAAGAAGATATCCAACTGTGTAAGAGATAAATATTGTAGTCCTCTAACTATATTGTGGTATATAGAAGGATTTGACATTGGCTCTCCGCATTGAAATGACAATTTTTCTATTAGAGTCGCTAGTTTGGAAATGACATAATAGTCTTACATTTAAGCCCTGTAGAGTAAGTCTTGGATGTATTTCAACTGTGTTAATAAAACTCCATTATTGTGCCAAGGGGCTTTGACACCAAAAAAAATACTTTAATCTTTGTAAATCTTTCAGCTTGAATGTTTGTCGAAGGAAATGGATGAGCTGCAAGACAGTAGTGTTGTTGTTACCGGGTACGAGGATGTCATCAACATACACTAGGCAATATAGCAAAATCCCATCATGATTGAAAGAAAAAAAAAGAGAGAGAGAGACATCAGCCTGATTGCCGAGGTGCCTAGTTGAGACCATAGAGACAGCGGTGCAGCTTGCATATATGATGAGGCTTGTCCTTGTCATGGAATCTCGACGGCTGCTCCATGTAGACATTATTGTCTAAGCCTCCATATAGGAAAGCATTTACTATATCAAGTTGCCGAACATCCCAATGGAAAGTGACAACTAATGTAAGGATTAATCGAATTTTAGTTGGTTTAATTACCGACCAGAATGTTTCTAAACAATCCACTCTAGGTCATTGGTGAAAGCTCTTAACCACTAGACAAGCTTTATAATGATCAACAATGTCATCCATTTTGTACTTAATGCGAAATATTCATTTGCATCCGATCACATTATGATTGGATTGCCTTGGAACCAAAACGCATGTACCGTTGGTAAGTAATGCATTGACTTCATCTTGCATTACTGTTCTCCATTTTGTGTATTTAACTCATAATTATTTGATCATCAAAACTCGATATTATGTCAAAATAATCTCTAACATATTAGTATCACTCACTTAATATCGAGTGCTCTAACAAAAAATCTTATTTAATTCTAAAGCATTAACATTATAACCACTAAAATGTTGTTTGATTACTAAGAATAAAAGGTTTGAAATAAAATACAAAAATTGAAATAAAAATTAAAAAATTTAAATGATATTGCATTCTCATACTATATTTGAAATAATAATAAAAATCAAAATAAAATTTAAATTTTTTAATATCGAATTTTTAATACAAATAAGAATAATAATTAAAAAAATAATTTTATTAACTACTAAAAATGATAAATGTGATTTTGGTAGTGGTGGTGATAATAGTAGTAGAGTAGAAGGAGGAGGATGTAGTAGTAATAACAATATAGTAATAATAGTAATACATCTTAAAAAAAAAATGATATCATCACTATAAAAAGTGATGGTGATAATAATGGTGATAGCATAATGAAAATGATGATTGTAGTGAAAGAAAAGTGATGATGAAATAATAATAATAATAATAATTTTATTTATTGTCATTGTCAATGATAATGGTGGTGTTATTATAAAAATGATAATAGTAGTTGAAGATAAATGATAACCAAATAATAATAATTTTTTTATCATTAATGCCAATGAAGATAGTGGTTGTGGTGATAAAAATAGTAAACACATAATAAATAAAAAATAAATAAAAATAATATATTATTAATTTGAAAAAAAAATTGATTCTCTCTCTTTTTTTTTTTTCGGTGTGATTCTTGGACTACCTTATTCACTTTAGGTGCGGCTCTTGGACTAGATCTAGTAAAACCCGGTCCAATTTATGTTTTCTAACTGATGTATCTAAAACCGCTCACAAAACAGAAGATTTGTACCGGAAAATATTAATTCCAGTCCCACACAAAGTCTAACATTATCGGTTTTAAATTAAACACGGTTTATATTTATTTTACACCAGGGTCAGGGTGGGCATCAGCCAAAATAAACAATGAAAGAAAAAACCGAGCCCGTTGGTATAAGAAGGCACATTGGGCGAATTTGATATGGGCTTAAAAAAACCGAGCTAGTTGAAATGAAATTGGGCCACCATCAGGCTCATCATTCCTCCAAAGAGCATGAGCCCAGCTCTTTCTTTTGCGTAGAGCTAACGCAATAGACCTCTAGGTAGTGTGACCCAGTCAAACTTGCAACCTTGTCCGCCAAGTATATGTCGTCAAGATAATAACATGACAAGACAGTGGGGTCACGCTTGGAGTGGAAGTAGGCATGTGCAGTGAAATGATTGACCAAAACAACTTGAGCTTCAAGGCGCCTGAAAATTCTTCAGACACTAGCCCTTATAAATCCCACCAATTCATCCTCCTAGTTCCCAACTTACTATCTAATTTTGATTTTATAATATCTAGAGAAAAGTTTATAAGCCAAAAGGAAGATGAGGCCTGTTTTTGCCTTTGTTATGGGAACCATGTTTGGAGCCTTTGTTACAACAGGAGCACGACGTTGGGAAAATCCTGAAGCTCGCCGAAAATGGAATTGTCCTCGCCAAGAACGCAAGGCTGCAAGCTCGGGAAGCGAACAGACGACAACCACGGACATGCCGCTCACAAATACATAGTTGAATGAATAACTAACCCATCTTGAGTATCCTAGCTGTATTATGTTGTGTTACTTGTAAGAATCCTATGTTTGTTGTTATCTCAGTCTGTATCGCATCATAATTTGTTGGAGGTTTGGGGTTTCTAGTAAATGGTTTAGATGATTTATTGTACCGTACAACTCATTGGCTTTGATTTATTGTGGTTTGATTTATATACTTTAGTTTTTCTAATCCTTGTAGTATATTCAGATTTCGACATCATAACTAAATACTTCTTTAATCGAATCTGAAGCACATTAACACATCGATCAGAAATAATATGTCTACAGCAATTTCCTTCTCAATGTCTCGAACTTATTTCCGTACGAGTCCATGCCTCAAAAATATGTACAATTGCTACTTTTGTGTAGCCGATGAAATATGTAAAAGCAATCCAACGCCAAGCCTGATTATAGAAAGTAGGCATTTCTAATCGAAGCAAATTATATGCAAGGCTCAATTTCTTGGACGACT